TTATCCATGTTTCCAAGCTGTTGTTGAGTTTTGGGTGTTGAGTGGTGAGTGCTGGGTATTGGGCGTTGGGTGTTGAGTGGTGAGTGTTGAGTGTTGTGTGTTGAGTGTTGGGTGTTGGACATTGTGTGTTGAGTGTTGGATGTTGACTGTTGGGTGTTGGATGTTGTTGGGTGTTGGATGTTGCATTTTGGGCACTGGGTATTGAGCGTTGGGTGTTGGGCATGGCCATTGCGAGTTGGGCATTACGTGTTGAACACTGGGCATTGGGCTTTGGGTGCTGGGTAGGCAACTGGGCGAGCGGCACCGGGGCTGCCGCGGAGCCAGAGACCGGCCCCGCTCTGCTGAAAGCCGGGACACGGGAGCCACGGCCGGAGCTGGGATCGCGCCGCACGCGGCCGGCCTCTCGCCGCGTGGTTTCGCCCCGCGGAGCCTGGCCGCGCAGGAGCAGCAGGAGACTCGTGCGCGGGACCCGCGGGGCTGGCGGCCGGGAGGGCAGCGCAGCCCCGGGCTCCTGCGGGGCCGCGCGGCTCCGCGCTCCTCCCGGAACTTCACAGGCCTCTCGCTGTGCAATTACAGGAGGATTTTAGTCTGATTATACATTAAAAACTCCTCGCTATAAAGAAACCCTGAGATCAGAGACATTTTCTTTCAAGTATTACATTGAAATGTGAACACTCCTGCTGCTTATTACAAAATGTTTCTACAAGGCACTACACTTACACTTCCTATTTTCATTGTTAGATTTTTCTTTTTTTTTCTCTATTTAAGTGTTAAATCCAGGCATCTTGTTGGCATCTCAATTTCCTTCATTGAAATGTTTGTTATGGAAGTTTTAATTACAGTCCGGGCAGGATGCACAGCCAAAGCCCCTGTTTTGGACAGCTTTGACAGAGCTAAGAGAATCAAACCCAAACATAAAATAAATGACACTTTTGTCCTTCAGACCTGTGAAAATGCGAATGCAAATTCTGCAGCCTTATTTTCCCTGATCCCCACTATTCTCTAATCTTATCAAATGCACATTCCCATATTCTGAGCCGGCCTGATAAAGCGCCTTGGTGTAAACAAGCTGCATTAGATTTTGCGGAGCCCATTTTCCTGGCAAATCCAATTTCACAATTTCTTTCTGGTGACACATTAGCCATTCCTCAGCACAGAAAACACTCCGTGAATATTTCAGCGCCCGGGTCCTGCGGCGAGGGGCAGCCCCGGCCGTGCCAGGACTCTCCGGGAGCCAGGCTGGCATTCCCGCTTCCCGGTGCTCCGGCTGCGGCGTCACTGCTCCCTTCGCTCTCGGCATCGTTGTTTGTCTGCGCGTGGAGGTGCCTCCAGGTTCATAAATCTGTATGCAGTAGTATGGGTTCTCTAACAGCAATTCATTTTAATTATGTGAGACATAAAAAGACCACCTACAGATGAGACAATACAGCTGTAAGATTCTCAAGGTTACTATGGGGAATACTTCATAACTGAAGTATGTTTTCCCTAAGGAATTCTACTACCATTTGATTTAATTTTTAATTTTTACATTTTAATCAAAAATAGATCAAATGGTGGTGTTACCTCCTGGGAAACATACTTCAGATATGAAGCAGTCCATGTTCCTTTTAAATATGTAAAGCTGCCATTTATGTATAACTCATGAATGACACCCTGTGTTGCAAGCAAATATCATGTGGTGATTTCTATATTGTTTCAGTAACAACACTATAACCATACACAAATATCACTACACCTGGATGTGCAAAGCAAACGCATTAAATAGTGTGAACTTCAGAAGCTAATACGAGCTCGAGCTGGCGCTAAATAAGATCCATCACTTATTGAACGTGCGCACGCTCGTATTGGCAGAGACCACATCCCTCGGGGCATTCAAGCATCAAGCAAGTTGTTATTTAGGTTTCTAAACGCAATTATTTGAAAACTCAGATCCAGAATCTAATACATTAGAGCAATGAGCAGAGAGCAGCGTTTTCCAGGTGGGATGGCTCCCTTTGGAGACCTTGGTGCACAGGTGCTCGTGGAGCAGCAAACCTGCTACAAGAGGGCAGCTCTTGGGTTCACCTGGGTGTTTGGGAACACCTGCCTCTGACTCACTTGGGAATACCCAAGGCAGGCAGAACAGCAACGAATCAGTCCAGGGGCTTTACCTGAGGAAGCCCACTGCTTTCCAGCAAAAAGCATCCTGCACAGGTCACGTCAGTAAGACGTGTCTCAGGAGCAGTGCAAACGCCTGCAGGTACCGGACGCCAGGCACCCAAGTATCTTTATGTGCAGCAATTTTCTGTGCAGGTTTCATGCACTGTAAAACGTCAAGGTGTAACTGTTAATGCTGCTTTTGCTGCCAGCAGTCAAAGCAAATATAGCATTATTAATTTGTGACTATTAATCTAGTAATATGGGATATCATATTCTCAGGAACCATCCCATTAGATTCTCAGGAGAGTTGCCAAGGTTTTTACACTTACAGGCATTCGTTTTTCCCCTAGTAATATCGGCATAAACATCATTTGTTTTTAAACGTATTATTTTCAACAGATATGTTCTAACTATAAATCTCCCGCCTTTATGGCCAAGGCCTGCCTGGAGCCGGTCGCATTCCGCTTTTCCAAGATCCCATGGAACCGGCACCAGGCGCCCGGGCCCCGGCCCCGCTGGGGCTCCTGCCACGCCGGGAGCCAAGGGGCGACGGGAAGAGTCTCCGCAGGATCCTGCCCCCAGCTCCCAAATACTGCAGCCAGGCCGGGAAGACACACATCTGGGAACACCGAGGAACATCCGAAGCTAAACTGTCACCCCAAGCCTATAGAGGAATTACTTCATTTCTAAATATTGATTTTGCATATTATTCCTGTATCTGGCTAGCGAGGAGGAAAATCTGTGGGCTGTGCTTGGAAATGGCACTTGTTATATAACATGATACAGAACCAGCTCTTATTTACCTTCATGCCTTGGTGTGTGCAGAAAGCAATCCAATTATTCATGGAATAATAAAAAACCAGCAAATTTCATACTGTAACCAAAGTGGTGTTTAATGATTCTGCTTTAGAGAGTAACAATTTACAAAATATAAAATTCAAAATATTTCATTATATCATTTTTACTTGAATTAAAAACAGGCTGTCCAATTTACAATACACATGTAAATAAAGTATCACAGAAGTTACTGTGTGTACAAAACACACTATCAATATAAAGAGCATATAAAAAGTATTAGTAAAGCAAAATTCCATAGTTAGTACAAGGTGAAGAAATCTTACAAAAATAATTTTGTGGTTCTGCTGCAGATCTGACACAAATCTGCTCTGAAGAAATATTTACCTGCCCAAACCTGTGCTGCACTCATCTGTACCAATTACAACAGCTTTATGATTCAGATTAATGGCAAATCTTGAAACAAATAACAAATACAGTACCTCTACTTAAAAAAAACACTATTATAAGTCTTCAATATATTAAATTATTTCAAGTACTATTTACTTTCACATTGGCTGATTTATAAATGCATTCCTTACTCCACTAGAAAAAAAAATCCCCAAACCTTCTCATGTAAAGACTTATTTCAAAGATTATCTAGAAATGTATGAACTCACTCTTATTTAAAAAAAAAAAAAAAAAAAAAAAAGATGATGTTTCTAAAAACAACTGGCCAAAATTGTCAGTTAACACCTCAGAACGACCAGAGTAGCAGCCCTTTGACAAGGACCAAAGCAGTGACACGTGGCAGATACTGCTTAGTCCCACAAACAAATAAGGATTTAGGTTTGTGAAATGAGCACAACAGGCTATTTCACCCTGGGATACTTCACTCAGAATACAGTCAAATTTACATCTATGCAGAGTATTTCAGTTATCAGCATTATTATTGATGGAAAAGCAGTAAGCAAAACCAGGTCAAGTTTTTGTTAGATGTCTGGCCTCATATAATGAATGATAATTTTGAACACTGAATAAAAATTACCCTTCTTCCCCCTCCTACCTTCAACTAAAGTTCCCAGACTTTTTAATTTTTTTTTCTTTCCTTTTCTTTCCTTTTTTTCCTTAATGTAAGCCAATTCAACAACAAGGGAAAAAAAAAGCTATTTTAACTATCTTTAAACAAATGGTAGACAGGGTAAACACACACCATGCCATTATTCTTTTACATAGCAAAGACACTAATGCTTAATAAAAAGTGAAAAGTCAAATTTAACATTCTCTTGAGGACCAATATATTTTATATCAACAAATAACTGTGCAAACAGAAATGCCATTGAAAACTATTGACATTTTTAGTGTCTTTGTAATACTGGATGTTCAAGGCTAAGAGGCAAGAAATGAAGCAATGCCCACCACAAAGCTGGTGTGAAATCCTGATTTAGTGCAACGTTTAGAACGTCTCCTCTCACTGTGTCCTGTCTAGGTGATATTAGTCACCAGAGTTACAGGACATCAAACTAGATGGTCTCAATTGACCCAGTCTGGTAATTCTGCAGTTAAATAACTAGGGAAAATGACCCTGGAAATTGAGAAGTTAGGGATGCAAAGGTTAAAACACTCATAAAAGTTGAAGGAATAGAAAGATAGAGACCGGTATCTGTATTTTTTTTCGGATTAAACAAAAATTTGAGGTGTTTGAAATATCTAACACTCTGATTTACTTTCAATATAGCTAAAATTTATAATGTTTTCAAAGGAATTTATCTTTTCCTAATAAAGCAGTTTAGATGTCAAATTATTGTAGAACTGCTTTATAGACTCATTTCCTCATCTATCACTTACTAGAATTCGATATTTGTATGATACTAGTTTATTTAGGAAGAATATCTTCTTAAAAACAGCCAAAAAAAGGTCAAAAGCCAAATCAGCTAAACTAGTCTAAATACTTAAACCAAGCACAGCATCACATTTTTTTTTTCCTCATACTGTGTCCCGTGCTCTGGGTGTCCCTGCTAGAGCAGGGGGTTGGACTGGATGATCTCTAGAGGTCCCTTCCAACCTCAACCATTCTGGGATTCTGTGATACTGAGCTTTTTTAAAAGCAGGAGCATTTTTCAAGTGTAAAACCAATGATATACAGAGCAGTGCAATGGAATTGAGGCATACAGCAAACTGCTATGTGCTGATAACACACAGAGGCCCTCGCCACTGGTAGAAGGGATGCACAGAAATCCAGCAGGACAGTGTTCACACCTGCATGCTCAGAATGCAAGGGGAGCGTTACCGATTTGCCTCCTCTCAACTTCTACAAGTTCAGGATATGACTGAAGTGTCCCTGAAATGATAAAGTTCCAAGTCATTAAAAGTTCGCTGATTAAAATATTTTCTTCTTAATTCTTTTAATAATTTTCAAGCTTAAAAAAGAAAAAAAAAAAGAAACTGCACCAGCACCAGAAATGCTCCCCTCATCTTGAATAACTTGCTGACAATTCTGAGAGTCTGAAAAGTAAAGGGAATTCTCAACATAATCTGTGTGAGGAGCTGGACTGCACTATGACTGCAGCTTTGCACATCAGGTTAAACTATGACCACAGGCAATTTTAGCATCGGGCAGATATCTGTTAACACCAGATGTTTTATTCTAAATCCTAAATGTTAAAGATTTCAAGGATAGGTCAGAGATTTACCCTCTCACAACCAAATGTTATTTAAAACCTAATTTTGCATTTGTTTATATCACATTTAAAAGTTTTGTGTCAGTTTAAAAGCTATATTCACAGTGTTACTTATAAAATAAGAAAATTCACCTCTGGTTATCATGTAGCACAGGAAAATCTTAAGAATGATGGTATTCCCCCCACCTAAATTCCACCTAGTTTCCTTCTTTCTACCTAGCACATCTTCTAAGTCTTTGCCTAAATTGTCAAAAACACATTAGTCAAAAGAAAAGCTTAAAAAACATGGTTCGAGGTTGTACTCTTTTTTTTTTTTTTTTCCAAGTTCAGGTTTAATACAATTCTATCATTCCTTCTGAAACACAGTAGTCCCAACATGTAGGAAAGAGGCCTAAAGGCCAGGAGAGCAAACCATGAGAATAATGATGCTGCACTTAAGCACAGAGAGAAGCCCAAGGTTGGGGCAGTAGTGAGTCAGACCCCAGTGTGCTCAGGAGTGCTGATGCTGGTGATGTTACTCACACTACCTATTAGCTCCTTAAATAGCAGGATTTCCAGATGCAAATGATCAATGCTGAGGAGGCTGCCTACAGCCACCAAAACCTGTCTCAGTAGAACATGCTGTATGCTTGACATGTCCCACCATGGATGCTTTAGTGATTTCAGTTTCCCCATCATCTGTAGAAAGCACAGCTTCTTATCAGAAGCTTAACATTTATTGATTATGAAAATAAATGACAAGATTATTAATCTTTTTCTGCCTGTAGCCTTCTCCCTCACGTTCACTGTAGTTGTTCTGAATGGTTTCTGAATGTTGCATTAGCTGCTGTGATAGTCTCTGGTTTTCCTGAGGTGAAACTTTAACTTTGAGGAAAGTTATCTGGGCTAATACCAGTTTACTAGGCATCATCTGCTTAATATAAGCTTTGCATTATTTTAGGAATGAAGGTAATTTACTAATGTGGTCCCTGACAGATTTACCAAAGTATATGTTGTTATGGTAATAGCCACAAACAACAGATTACCCAGAGAGAACACAGTGAATAAATCCGTACGATCAGTTCATTACCCCATGCAAAGACTTACAATGCTCTGGACACACGAACACTCACACAAGGCAGCTTCTCTCAGGATGGTCTGAGGAGCTCAACACAGCTCAGCTGCTCTAGCCCTGTCTGCCTGTGGCATTAGGTCCAAACTAGCAAACTCTCCTACTTGGCAGGACCTGCAGGAGCAGACAGGCATGTCCTTCTTCTGCACAGGTTAGAGAACTGAATATTGACACTAAATTGACACTACCAAACACCACATTTTAATCTTTAAACTCCAATCTCTACCTGTATGATTTCCTGTAACAGACATACAGAAATCAAATTCTTACTATGTAAAGACAAAATTGTTTCCTTAATTTCTGTAACCAGAGCTGGTCTTGACAATTAGGAAACATGTAAAGTGGTCAGAATAACTCAGCCATTCTACCAAACTTCAGTATATCAATGTGTGTTAAGAGGTGAATTCTACCCTCCAAGTAAGCTCCTGGAAAAAGAATACTTCAGTCTGATGCGACTCAAAATAGAAATGGTGCTATTCAAAATAAAGATGTCTATACTCATTTTACATAAAACCAGTGACAACTTTCCAAAATTAACTGGTCCCTAGTATAGAAGATTTATACAAACTGTAATACGGTGCCCTCTTTGTGTCCTCAAAGATGGTAACACATTTGAAAAGTTAAAAATTCAAATATGTGGTCATACTAACTTCTGTATTCTTGGAATCAGGCATGGATCTGGTTTCTATTTTGTTTTTAAAGATGAGTAGAAATAGATCAACACAAATCTAAATCTAAAAATCTAATTTAAATCTAAAAGACAGCAAATGTCTTTTTAGTCGCAACTCCTAACCTACGAGAGCAACCAAAGTCCTATGGCAGTCAATGGGAAATTTGCTCTTAATACCATCAGATCAAAGACCTTACTATAAACATTTAGGATTTATAAAGAAATGGCATTCCCCAAATCTCTCATTGTTTTAGGAGATTCTTTAGAGAGCCAATGTTTCAAAAGGGTGCAGAGGATGCAAACGTAAGCTAACGGTAGCTTCCACTTTGAGAGACTCCCTAAGCCTTCAGTTGGACAATTTGCATGAAAAATGAAACTATAAAAACACCACAACCTCCTTCACAGTTTCCCCAGTCTTTGAAAGCTTAGTCTTTTATCCTGGGAAAAAAGAGGATTGTTAAGTTCCTCTGTAGCAGGAAAGTCTGCTGCTACTGTTGCAGTACTACAGCATGTTACACTGTGCCAAATTACAGTTGTCACTACAGCCTACATAAATATATACATTTAAAAAATATAGACATATATTTTTTAAAGTAATTAGCTAGCTTAGATATCAAGAGGAGCCTATTTGTAGCAGCACAGAACTCAGCACCATTCAGCTGCCCAAGAAATTACGCTGTTTTTCAGAAAACTCAAGCTGTCTGTGCCGAGGTCTGATTGCCATTGATTCTTTACCCAACTAGTTTAAAACTAATGCTAGTATACCTACCAGGTAATATTTTTAGGTTGCTATTTTTTTTGGCAAGGAAGTATCAGGTTGGAGACAAAAAAACGATTAGAATTCCTGAATATCTTACCATCATCAGATAAATCAAGAAAGATATAAAAACAGGGTAGAGGAAGTTGTGTGTTATTGTGGGCCTTGGTTACTTCCTAAACTCTGGTTTTTACAGTGAATGTGAAAAATGTGTATGCAGTCTCTGTATTTTCCAACTAATACTGGAAGAAATGCATTAGTTTGTACTCTGCTGGCATACCTCAGAAGCACTAAATCAATCTGCCCTTTTTTATTTACATGCTTTATTCTTGAGAAATGTAATTGTGGTTTTTATTAACTTTATGTTTTATGGATCTAATACTTAAGAACAAGTCTATCTTTTATGTCATGGAAAGAAGGTTAATATACTCACAGATTCTCCAGCCATACATCTTGGGCAAGGCTGGGCAGTACCTCTGCTTCCATGGTTTTCAAAAATCTAATTAATAAAAACACACGCAAAAACACCAAAAAAACAATTACTTCCAATTTTATTTAAAACATATATTAAATATATTCTTCTAATAAATACATATTGTTGATGATGAAAACATACCAGTGAATCTTGATTCGTCTTTGCAGCTTGAGGAACACAGTCAGTGGAGACTTTCTCTTTAGAATCCAGCTCCATTGCCCAGTCAAGGAAGCCAATGTCAGCTTCCCATGGAATGGTTTCTACCCGCTTGCACACCCGCTTCTGCAAGAATTAAAGGCAATATTTACATATGTTTGCAAGGTGCAGGCCATTGGATGTAAGTTTTTGTATTTTTGTTCCAGGCCTCCAATCCTGCTGGAATATCTTGTATGTAGAATAAGGCCTTGCAGACTCTGCTCGAGAACTCAAAAATTTTGCATCTACCTCTGTGCCTCATGAGCAGGGAGGATGAGCAGGGATGTCTGTAGATAATACTAAATGTCTCTGTGCCTCAGTTACATAAAATGGGTATAAAACGCCACTGGGAAATGAAGATACAAGGATACACTTCATCGCGCATTAGTGTATAATTTAGGATGGGGCTTATCAAAGGAGCGGATCATGGGAAGTTGTGTGAAACAGCTAATTAAGCCAAGAAAACGGAAGGAAAACCCTGAAGCCAAGTCAGACAGTTTTGAAGATATATTTTGCAATGATTTCTTTACATCTTTTTTCTGAATATTGTCACCTGCTAAAGGCCTTCTGCTGCTATAAAATGAATCAACTTCCTGCTTCTCACTTGAACTGTTGTCTAGTATTGAATGACTTTGGAATGGCTGCATATCAAAAGCACTCAGCCTCCAGGGAACAGGTTATCCAAAACAGGGATGTCTTTCTGTACACCCCAGTACAAGATTAAAGGTCTTCAAAGCAAAGTGCCTTAGTACTCCATGAGGAGCTGCTCAGGAGCCAGCAAGGCTGAGGTGCAAATCTGTGCAAGAGATCTTCCAAGAGGGGGCCTGAAGCAGATTATCCCCGCTTGTGAGGGCTATCCTGTGCACTGCGAGGACTAGCGCAATCCCAGGGTTCTCCTTGGAATTATAGCAGCACATCAACAGAATAAGGGAAAATTTTCAAAACTGACATAGGTATTTCAGGGTTCGACTCTGGCACAATTCCAAAGAGACAGAGGGTTTTTTGAAATTTCTTTTAGACACTTTTCTGTACAAACTTTGTTTTAGGAGTAACAATACTCGATCTCTTTCACAGACAGAAGATGAGTTGCCACAGAACTAACAGACTATTGAAGCACAAAAACTAAATTTAAAATTTGAATATGCTATGTAAAAATAAAATGGATCGAAACAACAGGAACCTCAGAGGAAAACAGTTAAAAACAAGAGCACTGTGAAGGAATAGAAGATATTTATATGCGAGGTAAATCAAAAAGTGAAATATGTATTGTACTAAGAAAGTGAATAATATAATAACAAAAAGTCAGAGAAAGTCCTCTAAAGATAGGCTTCCCTCCACTGGGAAAACATTCTCCTGCCTTTGTTGCTGCACAACTCGTCCTTTATTAAAAGCTACAGCATGGTGATACAGTGGCATAACTAGCAAGATGTGAAAGATGAAGGAGAAAGGGAAGAAATGATTTACTGCCACACATCAGAAGAAATTTGGCTTGTTAAAAATAAATTCAAAGTATTGGGTTTTATTTTGGGGGGAGTGGGAGTTAAGATACTTAATATCAGTGACAGAAACTCTGCATGCAGAGCAGCTATCTGACAACCTCATCACAGCAATGTTCCTAGAAGAGCCTGGCTTCAGGGAGGCTTCATTCCCTTGAATTCGCTCTCTTGGTAAAGGAACAATCAATACATCAATCCCGCCTGCCAACAGAACACGTTTAACACAGGTTTCAAAAGTTTTTGATAATAAAGATCAACAAGCTAGCTATTCAAAAGGCAAGCAGGGGTTTCATCAAAATGACTCATTTTGTCAGGGAATAATCCTGCTACACCCAGCTTGGTTGTATAGTTCAAGACAAGTAACTGCAAGTCGTATACTGTCCTAGAACGGGTAGAAAGTGGGTCCATCTGGAGAGAGGAATTCTCTAACCTGTAAGAGATACGCCAAAAAAAAAAAAAAAGAGTGACTTTACCGCTGCTAAAAGGATGGAGACCTCACTGGAAATACTTTTCATAAATGATGAAACTAAACAGCTGCAAAAACTAGTTACCTACAGCTAACTAACCTGGACACGAGGGAAGATGGTTTTACGGCAGACTACCAGTTCCTGCTGACTGCAAGACTTTCAGGATCTCCTACATATATTTTTAACGACAAACCATTTCTGCTGTTTGTCCGTTTGTTAAAAGCCTGGCTAGCTTGCGTGCGTCCCTAGGATCAAACGCGCTCTCCACGCAGCTCAGCCTTGCACCTCCGGCGCTGCTGACGCCTTTGCATAAAGGATGGTGACATAAGGCACGGTGACCATCGTCAGCCTAGGAAAGAGATGCAGACGGTTTGGGAGAGCGAAAGGGACATGAGGGGCGGCAGGGTCTTGTCCTGGAAAACTCCAGCTCAGAACAGGCCATCTGAATAGGCTTGAATTTAAAAAGTTTGGCTCATTCCTGGACTCTAAACCCAGGCAACACCCAGGGGCACCTGCCGCAAGGGTTCCTGCAACAGCACGGGCCGTTCAGCCCCGGCTCTAGCAGGACCCTACCAAGTTCTTCCGCAGAGGCACCGGGATCTCCACCGGGCCCTTCTGCCGTCTCGCGGCGTTTCGCCTCATCTCCACAAAGCTCTTAGCGTGCTTGTTGGGAGGCAAAACTCGGTTCCTGGGCCGCAGAAAGTTGCTGTTTTCCTGCCTAATCTCCAAAAGGGGCTATCTTAGGTCAGCACCCCTCAGTTCAGCGCGCGCGTTTCCCGCCACGGCCCGCGCGGCCCCGGGGCGCCCCGCACCGCGGCCCCGCCGCCGCCAGGGGGACCCGCCCGCCAACGGTCCCGACGCCGCCGCCAACGGCCCCAACGCCAGCGCCCCGCCGCCAACGGTCCCCGCGCCGCCCAAGTGCCCGCGGTCCCAGC